AGCTGCAAAAAAAAAAAAAAAAAAAAAAAAAAAAAAAAAAAAAAAAAAAACAGAAAAGAGGGCAAATGAAATACTAACTGCTGGGACCGCCAAGCTGAGTAACAGCATCAACGAAGCGTTCGTGAAGGTCAGCAGTCCAACGAAGTCGAGGCTTCGGATCTGACGTCAGCACAAGGCAAGGATCTCCATTAATATTATGAGTATGATGAATCCCAACATTCATATTATATTCATCTTCCCCTTGTGGTTGAATCAATCTCGGAAACATTGAGTCAGCTCAGCTCAATCTCCTTTCTCTCTGTATTTAGTTAAACAATATTTATTCGCATAGGAATTGAAAGAAGGTCGAAAAGGGGAAGCTGAAAATTTTTGAGGGCACGAAAAAAGAGAAAGAGAAAGGGCTAATCGTATCGCCTACTACTCCTGTTTATAGAGAGAGAGAGACAGAGAGAGAGAAGTTACGGCCAACCCCATAAGAGTCACTAATGAAATGTATAGTAATGGAGTTTATTACCCCGGCGATTGTCCATGTTTGAAATGTGCAACCCAAGACACATTAGGTAAAAACCTGCACTGTTATTTACACAAGCCAATCAAATAGTTAAAAGGTGGGTAACCCTTGTTAATATGGTTAGAGTTTGTGTTACTTAATCGGGGAGATTTCTAATATGTACTTAGAGTTTACTTTTATTTGACAACTATATTAAAATATATTTTTATTTTTACATGTCAAATTTAATAAGAGAAATATAATTTTTTTTGTTTTATTCGCCTAAAATTTTGTGCGCATATCAGAAATGACATAATGAAAATAATTATTTTTTCGTCATGATTGTTCTTCGTTTTTTGATGTGCTACGACCATAAAACAGGAATTCAGTACGATTTTTTATTTTTTGTGTGCTAATGTCCACACCAAACATACCCAGTATTATTTCATACCGTAGGATCTGAGGAGGGTAGTCTATACGCATGCCTTACACCTAAGGATAGAGAGACTGTTTCCATTAGACCATTGGTTTAGGAAATTATAAGCACCACATCCATGAAAATATAAACAAGAAGTGACAGTATCAAAAAGTCATATAAAAGCAGAATAAAAATAACAAGACAATAAAGGTGATCAACAATGAAAGAAAACAAGGTAATGTCCACACCATCTTCATGAATTCGGGTAACAAGCTCCAAATCACCTAATATTTTGTGGGCCAATAAAAAATGACCTAATGAACAATAACTATTGCTTTGCCATGAATGTTCCTCTTTTTGGCATTTTAATGCCATAAAACGGGAATTCAGGACGATTTCTATTTTTTCGTGTGCTAATTTCTACGACATCTTCATGAATTCGGCGACGGGCTTCGGATGCCTAAAACTCCCATCAGAAATGACCTAATGAATAATAGTCATTGTTTCGCTATGAATGTTTCTCGTTTTTTTTTGTTGCGTTTTAGGTCCATAAAATAGGAATTCATGACTATTTCTAATTTTTCGTGTACTAATATAAACATCGTCTTCATAAATTCGGGAGACGGGTTTCGAATCGCCTAAAAATTTGTAAGCCCATTAAAAATGACCTACTGAACAATATTCATTGTTTCGACATGACCGTTCCTCATATTTTGATGTTTTAGGGTCATAAAACAGGAATTCAAGACCGTTTTTGATTTTTCGTGTGTTAATATCCACACCACCTTCATAAGTTTGAGCGACAAACTTCGAATAATCTAAAATTTTGTGGGCCCATCAGAAACGCACTAATGAACAATAGTCATTGCTTTGCCATGACCATTCCTTATTTTTTGGTGTTTTAGGGCCATAAAATAGGAATTCAGGACGATTTTTGTTTTTCCCTGTGCTGTTCACGCCGTCTTCATAAATTCGGGAGACGGGCTCCGAATTGCCTAAAATTTTATGGGCCCGTCATAAATGACCTAATGAACAATAGTCATTACTTCGCCATAAATATTTCTCATTTTTGGGAGTTTTAGGACCATAAAAAAGGAATTCAAGTCTATTTCCAATTTTTCGTATGCTGATATCCACGCCATCTTCATGAATACGGGCGACGCACTCTGAATCACCTAAAATTTTTTAGGCTCATCAGAAATGACCTAATGAACAATAGTCATTGCTTCACCATGACTGTTCCTCATTTATTGGCGTTTTAAGGCCATAAAATAAGAATTCAGGACGATTGTTAATTTTTCGTGTGATAATATCTACACCATCTTCATGAATTCGGGTGACAGACTCCAAATCATATAAAATTTTGTGGGGCCGTCAGAAATGACCTAATGAACAATATTCATTGTTTCGCCAAGACTATTCCTTGTTTTATTGGTATTTTAGGGCTATAAAATAGGAAGTTAAGATGATTTCAAATTTTTTGTGTGCTAATGTCCTCGCCATCTTCATGAATTCAGGCGACTAACTCCGAATCTCCCAAAATTTTGTGGCCCAATTAGAAACGACCTAATAAGCAATGTTCATCTCTTCGCAATGAGTGTTCTTCATTTTTGCGTTTTAGGGTCATAAAATAGGAATTTAGGACGATTCCCATTTTTTCGTGTGTTAATATCCCCGCCATATTCATGAATTCGGGCGAAAGGGCTTTGAATCCCCTAAACTTTTGTGGGCCTATCATAAACGACCTAATGAATAATAGTCATCATTTTACCATGATCGTTCCTTATTTTATATATTTTAGGGCCATAAAATTGGAGTTCAAGACGATTTTTAATTTTTCGTGTGCCAGTGTCTGCGCCATCATCATGAATCCGGGCAACGGGCTCCAAATAGTCTAAAATTTTGCGGACCCATAAAAACGACCTAATGAATAATAGTCATTATTTCTCTATGATTGTTCCTCATTTTTTTAGCATTTTAGGGCCATAAAACTGGAAAATGTAGATGGCTTGCTTGTTCGAAACCATAGTCATCGGTTCGATCGGGCCTAAAATTTTGTGTGATATAGCCTACGCTAATTGCACAGGTCCGGGCGACCGGACCCAATCGCCAAAAACTTTGTCGGCCCATAAAAATGACCTAAGAAAAAATAGTCATCGTCTTGCCATGACCATTCCTTGTTTTTGGTATTTAGGGTAAAAAACGAGGAACGGTCATGCCGAGGCGATGACTAATGTTGCTTAGGTCTTTTTTGATGGGCCGACAAGATTTTAGGCGAACCAGGCTCGTGCATAATGTGGCTAGAGCACCCGAAAATATGAGAATTGGGCGAAATTCAAGTTTTATGGCCCTAAAATGTCAAAAAGAGAGGAACGGCCATGATGTGACGATGACTAAATTTTCTTAGGTAATTTTTGAAGGGCCGGATTCTTTTTAGTTGATCCAGGTCCGGGAGCCCGATCCCATGCAAATGGTGTGGGCAATAGCACACGAAAATTTAGGAATTAGGCGAAATTCTTGTTTTATAGCCCTAAAACATCAAAAAATGAGGAACGATCATGGTGATGCGATGACTAATGTTCCTTAGGTCATTTTTGATGGACCAGAAAATTTTTAGGAGATCCTGGTCTGGCTGCCTAGGCCCAAGCAGATGGCGTGGGCTATATTGCACATGCAAATCTGGGAATCGGGCAGATTCCTATTTTATGGTCCTAAAATATCAAAAATGAGGAACGGTCATGGCGAGGCGATGACTAATGTTCCATAGGTCATTTTTTATAAGCGGACAAAATTTTAGGCTATCCAGGTCTGGGCGCCAGGCCCACGTGGGCAATAGTAAACGAAAATGTGTGAATTGAGCGGAATTCTAGTTTTATGACCCTAAAGTGCCGAAAATGAGAAACGGTCATGCCGAGGCGATGACTAATATTCCTTAGGTTATTTTTGATGGGATAATTTTTTTTAGGTTATCCTGGTTCGGGCACCCAGTCCCACGCAAAATGGCGTGGGCTATAACACACGAAAATATGAGAATCCGAAAAGAATTCCTGTTTAATGGCCCTAAAATGCCAAAAGATGAGGAACGGTCATAGCGAGGCGAAAACTAATGTTCCTTGGGTTGATGGCTGGTAAAGCTTTAGGAGATTCGGGTCCCGACACCCAAGACCACGCAGATGGTATGGGTATAGCACACGAAAATGTGAAAATCAGGTAGAATTTCATTTTTATGGCCCTAAAACGCCAATAAATAAGGAACAATCATGGAGAAGCGATGACTAATTTTTCTTAGGTCGTTTTTGATGAGTCAGAAAAATTATAGGAGACATGGGATCGAGCGCCCGAGCCCGTGCAGATGACGTGTGTTATAGTATACAAAAATATGGGATTCGGGCGGAATTCCACTTTTATGGCCCTAAAATGCAAAAAAAAAAAGGAACGGTCATGGAGAGGTGATGAATAATGTTCCTTAGGTCATTTTTGATGGACCGATAAAAATTTAGACGATCCAGGTCTGGGTAGCAGAGCTCGCGTAGATGGCTTGGGCTAGCACACGAAAATCTTTGAATCGGGTAGAATTCCAATTTAATGGCCTTAAAATGCCAAAAAATGAAGAACGGTCATGGCAAGGTGATGACTAATTTTCCTTAAGTCATTTTTTATGAGCCGAAAATTTTAGGTGATACGGGTCCGGGCCTCCGAGCCCGTGCAGATTTCGTGAGCTATAGCATATGAAAATATGAGAATCGGGCAGATTCTAGTTTATGGTCCTACAATGCCAAAAACGAGGAACAATCATGGCGAGGAGATGACTAATATTCCTTAGGTATTTTTTGTTGGGCCGACAAAATTTTAGGCGATCCAAGTCCGGGTACCCGGGTCCATGCTGATGGCGAGAGCTATAGCATACGAAAAATGTGGGAATCAGACAGAATTACAGTTTTATGGCCCTAAAACGGCAAAAGAGGAGGAACGGTTATGCCGAAGCAATGACTAGTGTTCATTAGGTTGTTTTTTATGGATCGACAAAAGTTTAGGCGATACGGGTCCGGGCCCCCGAGCCCGTGCAGATTTCGTGGTCTACATCATACAAAAATATGAGAATCAGGCGAAATTCCAGTTTTATGCCCATAAAATGCCAAATAACAAGTGACGGTCATGGCGAGGCAATGACTAATGTTCCTTAGGTCGTTTTTGTTTGGCCGGCAAAATTTTAGGCGATCCGAGTCCGGGTACCCGGGCCTACGCAGATGGCGAGAGCTATAACACACGAAAATTTGGGAATTAGGCGAAATTTCAATTTTATTGCCCTAAAACGCCAAAAAAGGAGGAACGGTTATGGCGAGGCAATGAATAATGTTCCTTATGTTGTTTTTTATGGGCTGACAAAATTTTAGGCAATCTGAGTCCTTGCACCGAGCCCACGAAGATGACATGGGCTACAAGCACATGAAAATTTAGGAATCGGGCAGAATTTCAGTTTTATGGCCCTAAAATGCCAAAGAAGGAGAAACGATCATGGAAAGGCGATGACTAATGGTCCATAGGTCATTTTTGTTGGTCCGACAAAATTTTAGGCTATTCGTGTCCGTATGCCCAGGCCCACGTAGATGGCGTGAGCTAC